CCAGCACCAAGAAGATGTAGTCTGAGCACCTGAATGTGATACTGCTCCTTGCCAGCTGGTGGGAAACTAAAAACATTGCTAAAGCTTGGTTCATGAGTGGCAGCTGCCCTGAAAAGATTCAAAGAGCTTACTAGTAGTCCTGCAGGAATTAAAACAGTTACCAATTAATAAAGCAGAAAGTCTTAACAGCACCTCATCAGAGCGACAAAAACCAAAGGTCTTTAGCAAAGCTCACAGTGATCTGAAAAGCTCTGGAAAACAGTCACGTTGCATAAAATGAATCTTTCTCATTATGTAGAAACATCTGTTTACAGTAATACTTGTAGATAAAGAAATAGTTAATATTAGTCTCCTTTGAACTCTCAACACTTCAAAATCCACAAGATACAGGATAATTGCTAAAGACAACAAATGAAAGTCAAGACTCAGAATCTTTCTTTAGATAGCTCCTCTGCTTTGTGATGCTACATTTTGTCCAAGATTTCCTAAACAGAAGCATTATTCGGAATTCAACACCATGCACGCCAGTGAACCATCATGCAAATAAAGGAATAAAAAGCAAAGATATTTTGCCACTGCTATTATTCATCCAGAAGCAATAGTTCTACATACTTGAGGATACAAGAACAATGTTTCCCAACAGAATACAACTTTCATTTGAGCTCCCTGGTTGCCACCATAAAATAAGCTAGCAATATAGTAGCAATTATACAATATGTTCATAGTATATTTTCTATCATCTGCAACAGGCACGAAATGTAATTTTGTACTGGTATTATGTGCAGAAAATTTTCATTCTAAGCTAGAATGAAATAACAGCTAATTCCATAAAACTATTTACATTTTAACTTAGTTTGCTGAACCAGCAAAAGTTGTTTGCAATGCAAAGTACTATTTTTGCCCCAAAAGTCTCTCACATTATATTGGGTTCACAAATCACCAGGTAGCACTATCAGTTATATACATTTTATATATTTTTATGGACACTAAAATCCCATTTAAAGAAAAAAAAAAAATCAATTTCAAGTCTTGCAATTTAGCCAAAGCTATCCCAGGACACGCCAGAACCTTCATGGTTCAGGCTCATTTAACTTTTGTGTCTCCTCAGAACACTGTTCACCAATGGCAGCTACCCCAGCTTCATACACTGAGCAAAAACACATTGTTAAACATAAATTAGCTCTGGGGAGGAAAGAAAGAGCTCTCTCATAACTGCAAAAGCAATTCCCTAAAATACAGCACTGAACATGATATAGCAAGTTTGAAAAAACCATACTGCTAAATTGATGACACAAAGAAAGTGCTGTATATCAGCTGTAGAAAATCCCTTTGCATAAACAACTTTACAGTAGACATTTGTTCTCTACTCAAACACCACTTCACTGTATTTCACAATACTTTTTCTTTACTAGCTGTCTTACAGGAGTCTGCCACATAATGTGACTTGACAAGGCTGTCCACGTAAAAAAATGATACAACTACTTACTAAAAGTTCAAATTTACAGAAAAAACACTGAAGTTAAAAAAGCAAAAACCTCAACAATCTGCTTTCAACTTCAGATTGTCTTGTTAAAGTGATTTTGTGAATTATTAAAGTTGATGTCAGTCGTAACTTCAAAACTGCTATGGAGGAAGTCAGGAGACACAAATGCGAAGTATGGAACCAAACTCAAGGTCAGTACACCTTAAGGCTTGGTCCAATACGTTATGGAAGCAGGCAGTGTCCATGAGAAACCTGCAATACAGCTTTCATAAAACACAAGTTTCAAAAACCTTCAGAAGTCACCTTGGAGACAAAAATCAGAGCATGTCAGGCACCACTCTGCAGCTGCTACCACACAGATACTGCATTATTTCATACCATATTATTAGCAGTCCAACACTTGTCCACTGACTACTTAAAATGGCTTGCAGCCAAGTAATGCAGCATATACTACAGCCTGGGAACAGTTCCTCAGCAGAATCACAGAATCAGAAAGGTTGGAAAAGATCCCATCGTCATCAACCATCAGCCCAGCACTACCACGAGCACTAGGGAGGAAGTGCTGCCCAGAGGCTGCAGGCCAGAAGGGACTGAGGGAAAACATCAGTGTGCCTGATCCCAACACCAAAGCCTGTCCTAGCGACGCACTGCTGCTAGAAATACTGTTTCCAGATATCAACTGCAACCTTACTGAAATACAATCACCTGAAAAAAGCACTTCAGAAAGGGCTTTTGTGCTGGGATTTAAGGACCTATAACAAAATGTCCTTAAATATAGCTCTTCTCAAACATTTTCAGAGTGTTCCACAACTGAAACATCCCACCTTTGGGGCCTATCAAGCTGTGTACCGTAACAGTGTACATACAGAAAACACCACAAACTACCTCAGTTTGTCTTCTTTCACATGACTTGACCATGCAGTGACACAGAATTACCACATGCTCTTTTGCTGCTGTTCTTCTAAGGTATCTCAGTTCTCCCAAGAAGAATACCAACGTGGAAAAACATTTCCTCACACATCTGTACCTCTCTGTATTTTTCACAAGAGCCTCAGCAACGCATCATCTGAGTGAACTGAAGTGATTGTTGAGGAGACTGTGGATCAATAACTCAATGAGAACTTTAATAATGACTTTGAATAGCTTAAGTCTTTCACTGGATTGAAGTTTCTGCAGCCCACCTGCAGCAAGCTGGCAGTAACAAATTCTCCATACACTGCAAACTGAGGTACTCCAAGTTTTATGTCTAAGTATGTGAAAGGTAGAGGCAAAGCCTGTCATTTTACAGCTCACTACTTGCTTCTTCCCTTATATCCTCTAACAAAAGGTACTAGCGTAAGGCCAAGTAAGAACAGAACTCCCTGGAGATGCCTGCTGTGAGACACATCATACCATTTCTTCAACAAGTTTCACAACAATAGCTCAAGGACAAGGTTTTCCATTAGAAATCAAGTTATTTTGAAAGAGTCAATATTTTTAATAAAGGTCATGGTACAACAGATGAATTGAATTATTCAATTTTCAATCCAAATGTAAAAACTTGAAGTTCAAAATACTTTCTGAAATTTCACATTTATTTTCTGAAAAGACAAATAAAACTCAAGTTTTCTTTCTTGTTCTGTCAAGCAAGTACATCTTTATGGTAATGTAATATGGACTTTATTGCATGCAAACACAACAGGACAGACAAGCCTGTATTTATCTTCTGTCCATAAATGCAATAAATCTAAATATAACTTAAATAGTTAACCTAAATAAAGACCATAATCCTGACTGTATTACCTATCTCTTCTCTTCATCATATTCCCTTGCTGAATTGTTCAAAGTTTCTATACAACATTGCAACAGCTCTATAGAACTACCAGAATAATGCTATTCTTATGCTACTCATTACAAAAGTACTTCAGAGTCACACCTGGATGAAAGGAAAAGAATATAGTTGTCTTTTTCTGCCTATATGGCTTGTTATCACCAGGCATTTACTTCTGTTTGGTAATCGCTGCATAAAAATAACCACAACCACCAAATTGCAGCATTCCTCCTGCACAGCAACTACTTACTGATTTCAAAATCATCTACCTTGTACTACTGAAAACTTCTAGCTTTCTGAAATGCTTCCTCAACTGCGTCTTCACCAAAATAATGTGTATTTTTACAACTTGTATTTCAGTTACTGACCACTCACTGTTACACCATAATATGTGTACAGGTTTTGGAAATTTATCCCACTAGAACAAGCGATGTGAGATGTGGCAGGATTCCTGCCTATGGTAACAGACAACCCAGTGCACAGCAACAGCAGCATTAACTGTACAAACCTAAGCAACAGGAGAAATTCTGTGGCAAATTCATGTAAGCTTCATGGAAGAGAGGAGCTGGGCTTTTAACAGAAGTAAAAGGAAGAAGGCATTCACAGTCTTGACAGAACTTTCCGTGTGGATAACACATAAATTATAATTCATGAATATGAACTGTGATTAGGAAAGGATTCTTCTTGCATAATACTCAATAGCCAGAAGTTCATCACTGACTGAGGTTCATTAGGGATCCCTAAATAAGGAAAAACCTTTTGAATCATGGGAGACCTGCTTCTGCCAGAACAGTTGCAACACTGAGCCAGAAGTGAAACCCAACACATCTACTGTTTGTACATGATGTGGCATCACATGTATTGATTGCTCTACTGGTGATTCAAAGTATTTGATACCAAGATGGGAAGGAGATGTTACATCTGAATTTCCTTAGTATTTTCTTTTAATACACAGTTAATCCTTCAACATGACACACAAACACAAAAATCCCACCTGTGCCTTCACACAGATTGCATCAGAAATGAATAATGGCATTATTTGGAAATCTATACTTTTGAAACATAGGCAAAATTTAGATTAAAAGAACAAATACCAAGGTACACTAAAGATATGATAACTACCAGAGGTACAAGAGTTTACAGCAGAGAATGACACAGATCTTGTACTGCAGAAACAACTCTTGATGTTTGAGTGGATCCACAGAACATTACAAATGCCCTAGTGAACTTGGAAGTTGATAAGCTTTCTATGGTTCTCAGAAGCATCCCAGAACTCCCCCAGGAAATCCAGTAGCAGAAAAAACAATCTAACCTTAAACAGGGTTTTAAGAATCCTACGGAGGTTTGTGAAATTTGTGGCTGAATGAAAAAAAAAACCGCTACTGTCTTCCTCTTAAAGAAATTAGAGGCAGAGGATGGAATATTCCCTTCTCCATCATCACAAAAAAAATCCTTGCATGGAACTTCAACTGAGTAAGCCTAAAATCAAAATGAAATGTTACTTATGGTAGGACTACATTTTATAAACAGTGGTGCACTAGCTCCTGAAAACACAGCTTCCTACCAAAGGCACCAGCAGACACCATCACTACCATTAAAAACATCAATGCTGTAACTGAGCTGCATTGTATCACAACCCCTACGTGTGAAAATATGACCTGGTACACTTTAGAGGCTGATTTTTATCATAGAAATAAAACTCCTTACCTTGAAAAGACTGTTTGGCTCTGTCCACGAGTTCATCAATTGGATAACTCGCTAGATCTCCTCTGGCATGCTTAGTTTTGCAGTAGGTACATGCGTTGAGACACCTGTTTAGAAAACAAAAATACTCAATTTCTAGAAAAAAAAAAGTCTTTCTGTGCACAGCTGTATTTATTAAATGCATCTCAAAAATTAGCTTCTCTTCCTATGACTAGGGAAGGGTAATATTCTGGTTTAAAATGAAGTAGTTTGAAAAGCATTTTGTCTTCCCATCTTCTTTAAACTACCTTTCACATTAATATAAAAGGTTGAAAAAGCTATCAGTGGAAACCACACAAAGTCCAAGAGGGACAACTTACATATTTTTAGAAAGCTATATGAGGGTTAATAATTGCTCATTACTCAAGATGAATCTCCAGGCTTCAAATCCTGTTATTACATAAAAAATTCTACCTGAACAAGGAAATAAAGAAAAAAAAGTCCTAAAAGGCTAAAAGTAGATGTTAAAAATAGTGTTTATTCTTGAAAGCACATCTGAGTTAGTTTTTCCTCCTTTCATTTGGCTTGTATGAATAAAACAAATAACATAATGAAGAGAGAATCACCAATCAGAAAGACAGTTTGGCACAAAAGATTGGTGAGCTAATGGAAAACTCCCATAAGAAACTGAAGGAATAATGTGAATGCTTTTAATTTACCTGCCAATGTAGTAAAGGCAGACTAATTCAAAGTAAAAGGATGGAAAGATCAAACCAAAACCTGCCATTCGTTGTATATTTTTCTTGGATCAGCCTTTGGATCCTTGTAGTGCTATGAAAGTATTAAGCAGAATGTTAAAAGGAGTTTGCTGCATGTTTTCCCCCTTCTTCTCTTTTCAAAGCTGGTATTACCCTACAGCTTTTTACAGGTTAAAGCACTTAATCCCCTAAAAACCCCACAAAATAAACAAAAAAACGTTTAAAATAGTTCTCTTGTTCATGGCTACAGAACATCTTAAATTCTGTCAATTTTTACAATTAAAAAAAAAAGCCACCTCTTGAATATAATAAAGCACTTAGATGGCAGAAGAGGCTAACACCAACTACAGCAGTGTTACTAGAAAAGTTCCAAAACCAGTGTGAAAAGGCAAAGACAGGACCAGGTGGGGCCCAGTGGAGTCTCCAGCTACAAGACTGTTCACTGCTTTCTGCCAGAGGACACCTGGACAGTTTGTGATTCTCTCTGCTAGACTGGAAGGTGTAAATTGTGCCCAATCTTATTTATGCGTAATACTTTTCCTGCCTATCAGATGCAAACATCAGATTTTACAATCCGTTTTAGATCAGAAAACTAAGCTAATTGCTCAGTTTTAAGCTAATTGCTTAACTGCAACAATGAGACTGTTCTATTAAAAACTAATGCATCTATATATGAAATGTATACAAAACAAGCTGTCAGTCAGTAACATATATAATCACCTATTAAAATTAAGGAGTAAAAAAGAAGACCTAAATCTGAACTTCTTACAACCTGCTCCAAATAAGTGATTCATTCCCACCCAAAGACAATTTATTCATCAGATGTGAAACAATTTTTATGTATCTCACCTTTCTTCTGCAAATCAAAACCCTTTCATTGTGCAAGATCTAAAGCATGTTTAAAAGAGTAGCATTTGAAATCAAGAGAGTGGAAGGAGATACTTGATTTATATTTTGTCTGTGTAACATATTTAGCAAACTAAAGCAAATTTTCTGCAAGGTCACTGACCAGCTAAAGTATGCCACATGCCTTCCCCCCCACAGCCCATGGGATACTCCTCTCTTTGCCTCCCATCCATGACTCTCTCAAAGTTCTTCCATTTTTCCAGGGTTGCAAACCATGTCTTTCTCTTTTTTCCTTCTTTTTACTGTTTTGTTTTTTTTTTTTCCCTCCTTCTGTTTGTTTTTAAAGCACAACTCTCCATTCAACCCAACACTTCATTCCTAGGCAGGCTCCCATCCAGCCATCCCACTGGCGCACTCCTTCCCCCCTGTGTCATGCACGAAGCTAAAGCAGCTCTCTTCCACACAGCTACACAAAACCAGTGTGACGGTTTGGTGATGCATCCTGCCATGTCCTAAAGAGCAAGACTAAGCCTTCCTTTGGTCACCTGCCATGGTGTGGTGGGGGGACTAACAGACAGATGCTCTCCCATGCCATGGGACCAGGGACAGGGAGAAGGGGACCAAGGGAGCGCTCACGGGTCTGGTAATGTGGGGATATCACATACCAACTACTGTCATGGGCAAAACAAACCCAATGTGAGGAAAACTAACTGCCTGCCAGCCAAAATAAAACATCAATCCCAAATTCAGGTACTGGGGAACAAAGACACCAACATTTAACCAAGGCCTTTCCTCCCCTTTTTCCCAGGCTTCGCTTTACGCCTTCATTCCGGAGTCGTCTTTGCACATCCCACCCCAAGGCACCCAGAACCAGCTGGAACCAGCTGTGACCAGCACACGACATAAAAGGGGCTGTGAAGTGCTAAAAGAAAAGGCTGGGATGGCAAAACAGAGCAGGCAAACTGCTGTGCCATTGCCAGAGCCCCTCTCAGGGGGCACGGCCAGAGCCCACGCTGCAGTGACAGGCCAGCTCGTGAGGTCACTACCACAGTACGTCCCATTTTGCTCTGCAGCAAGTTTATTCCATTTTGCTTATACTTCCAGGACACCTAAAATCAGTTTCATAGTGGACGCATTTGCTCTTTTACAACCAACACAAAAATGGGTGGCTTCCATTGATGATATTTCTATTAAGCCCTGTTTTCTCTGAAGAAAATAACACTACCAGCTATTTCGTCAATCTTCTCAGGACATCAAGAAAAGATTTAACTTGCAACAATCCTGTCTCCTGACCCCAAGGTTACTTCAACACCAGCCCTTTTACTCACAAAAGAGAATTTTGTCAGCCAACAGTAACAAAGGGATGCACTGAGAATCCATTTCTTGGGATGAAGTTAATTTATTACACTCAAATTTAATGTCGAATTTGGGAAGAACAAAAAAAGAGCCCACAACACAAAACTTTATCATTTTCTTCAATTTGCAAAGTCTGACTTAGTAAAAATTTGGTATAAAAGTGAGTTTTAATGAAAAGTTTATTATCAATCTTTTCTCATATTGAGCCGTAATGTTTCCTGAAAACCATGCTCTTGGTAGATCTTCTTGAAGATGTGTCAACTCATCATAAGACTGGTAAAAATTATCATTTTTGTAAGTTATTTAAAGCAACCTTCTGCATTTATTGCTGTGTAATAGATCTAGAGCAATAATCTAAAAGGGTATTGGTGTACAGTAAAAAAACTTCTTTATACTAGTTTCATAGAATTTTTCTATTTCCTTATCATAAAAATCCATGTTTTGTGTGTTTATAAAAAATAGTGCTAACTCTTCCTCTCTTCTTAAAATTTATGCATAAACCATACATATTTCTCACTATGTATTTTGCTCTGTATTTGGGTAGCAGTATTTGAAAAGCTCTACAGCAAGAGCACTGAACACTAAGAGCACTAAGTACTAAGCAACGGTACTAAATACTGAAACTACTAATCTCTAAAATCTGAGGATGAACTTCATACCTTCAATCAATGCTCCTTTTCTACAAGGCCTAGTTTCTACTAGACTAGTTTCCTCTCCATTATCAGAGTTGCTTTCTGGGCAAATATTCTTTACACTAAATCCTAGGCTACCTGAAAAAATGCAGTAACTGCAATTTTTCCTCTGGTACTGCAATGAACTTGGTCACAAAGAGAGAATGGACATGTGCAGCAAGAAACACAAAGAAAGAAGAGCAAGTTATTCTCTAAATTACTCAGAGGATTGTGTGGGATTGATTTTAAGAGCTTTATTATGATGGTCTTTAAGTACAACTTTAGGAGGCTTGTGATTTATTTTGGGGCAGGAGCTGAAAGTTGGTATCTGGAGGCAGACTTTTTTTCAATTTTTGCTGCATCAATGGACTTATTCTTACTATAATATAAAAATACTGTGGAATACCTAAACAACAGAGGTTTGGTGGGTGTTTTGGTACTTAAAGAGGTTATATAACAAAATCAAAACAGGACAGACTTTGGTGTAACATAGAAAATGACCAATTCTAGAAAGCAAACCAAAAAAAAAAAAAAAAAAAAAAAAAAAAAAAAAAAAAAAAAAAAAAAAAAAAAAAAAAAAAAAAGTAAAAATTTAAGTCCCATTTTGTACCACATTTATGAATTCCAAATAGGGGAAAAAATCTTCAAGGCTACAGCTGACCAACCAAATGATGCAGATTTCAAATTCTTGTTAAAACACAGAACTAACAGCTTTTCACAGATTTGAGAGTTATGTATTCTTGAAAATAGGAATTTAAACCAAACCCTAGGTATAATAACACATCTGTAGTGTTTTTCTTCCCCTAGTAAGCCAGCCTCTACTCCAAGTTTCCAGCATAAAAAATTATTCACACGTCCACGCTGCCACAGACTCAGACCACAGCCAGGAAAAAGGCTGATGGGAACTCTGAGAATCTCAGCGTTGCTCTCTTACTAAGTGGCATTCACCTACAAACGGATCACCTAAAACCAGCCCAGCAGATCAAGCTCTCCTCAAAAACTTGCCTTTATCATACCCAAAGCTCAAATACATGGGACTAAAAAGCCAACTTGCTAGTAGTTGCAAAAAAGCATCTCCTTTGTGTTAAATTGGAAGCTTTCTTCAAGTGTTTAAAGCTGGTTTGTAAATGTTAGTTTGTTTTAATACAAGTCAAAGCTTTTCTGACCCCAAAAAAAAGATGTTTATAAAAATAATTATTAATGATCACTATGTTTGTAATTACCAATATGTTTTGGGTGATATTTCTAATGATTCCAGAACAAAAAACACTCAGTTCTGGTTTTCCAACATACTACACTGATTAAGGTACTTTGAATTATTAACCTTTTGCTTTGAATTATTAACGTTTAATCAGCTATGTGTCCAATACACAGAACTATTTCACAGCCAGGTAAAATATTATCCATAGATAAATTACTACCATGTGGCTAAAAAAAATCCAATTTTTTGAACATTTTAGTAAACTGAATGTCATCAACATTTTGATCAAGTGCCTG